TTTGAATATATACAGTTATATGAAATTTTAGGGTAAAAAAATCAATGCTAAGCATTTGGAAACCCATCATTGCAAACATTTATAATATATAATTGGATGCCTGTAACAGATAAAGTAAGGCACATAATAAAGAGATTCATGCATGTGAGTAATATTTGGCATAAATTTTTAGATTGTTACAGGGAAAGATTGCATGGATTACTTTCATTGACCTACTATAACCTAGGTTTCCTTCCAGAGGTCAAAGAGAGGCAGATTTTCACATGCAAACTCACCTAATTAATCAGCCAAGAATAGCAAGTTATCTATGGGTTAATTGTGAAATGCATTATAACTAAGGTATAAATAAGACCATATGGTGAGGAGTGAGATAGAAACACAATTGTCAAGCAAAGCCTGAGGCTGGAGAGCCAGGAAACATAAATAAGGAAGTAGCTAGATTCAGTCTTCTGCAATATTAGCATCCTGTATTCTAGTGTAGTGTGATAAATAATGCAGGTAAGTCATACACTATGACAGAAGCAAAAACAAAACAACTTATAGCCAGATAAGTGGGATCTAGCAATCTGGTGCTAGGGGCATTAGAAGTGGAATGGTCAGCCTTCACGTGAGTTATGATTGTCAGTCATATCCACAGTTTGGTGGTATATGAGAAGCTGTCACTCTGATATTGTCAATCCTCTGTGCTTAGGATCAATGCAGCAAATTTTATGGCACTGTATTAAAGGTTAGTTTCTGAGTCTGTAAGAATTGCTGACCTAACATGAGGACTACATGGAACCAGGCATGTATGCATAACCTTAGTTTAACTAATTTTGAGAAATGGAAGCTGAAAATATAATTTTGAGAAAAGGCAAATGATAGAACAGATATTTCAATTATTTCCAAACCTCATGATCATTGGCTTCTTCTTTAAAGTCTATAAGAGATAAATAACATTCTACGTTTTCAAACAAGGTTTTGCTCTCCCAAAGATACCTTTCCACCATCAGCATTGTATTCTTTTTCATCTCCTTCCAAGAGTCGGGCTAGTCCAAAATCTGTGATTTTCACATGATTTGGAGATTTTACTAAGACATTGCGGGCTGCCAGGTCTCGATGAACAAGCCGTCTTTCTTCGAGGTACATCATTCCCTGGGGGGAAAAAAAATCAAGTTCCACAGAGTCACTTAGTGTCTGAAGATTTTCCTATTCTAAGATGAAATGTCTTAGCATTTGTTTGAGCATTCTTCTTTTCTTTAATTGAAGCTAAAATCCTGGAATATTTTAAAGATTAAAAAATAATAATAACCTTGTTGTGGGAAGGTGGAAAACCACAGATAAGTTTTGGGTTTTTCCTCACGAATTCTCCTAAAGAAAAACAAATCACCTGAATATGAAAAAAATGCAAGCCCACTTTTCTCAGGGACCTGATATCCTTTTGCAAATATTTTCATTAGTGAGGTGTGCAGGTGTCTTAATAGATAAGCTAACATACCAGGACCAACCCACATATTCCTCATGATTTTCTTCTCTTTAATATCATTTTCCTCCCACACACTCACTCTAAATAAACACTTCTATCCAAAATTTAAAAAATATTCCATCCAAAGTTTGATGCCCAAACTATCTTTATAGATCCCTTCAAGGATGAAGAATCATATTATTTTCATTCATTATGCACAAAATAAAGTATGCCCTGGGGGGGCTTAAGAGCATATAATTTAAAAGACAGGTTTTTATGACATTACTTGTCATTATGACAACTCACAAGTGAGAATACATAGTTTATAATGACCCAAAAATTAGCCTTTAATGTGTTATCTTCACAAAACCACACAGGAATTAAAAATAAAATTTATTGCTGATTGCTACAGAGAGACAAAGACAGAGACAGAGAAACTAGCTCCCCTTAATATATATGCATGTTAATCTTTATATAAATTCATAAAAGTACTGATCCATAGAAGTCATAATTGGCTTATTCATTACATTTTAACAGAGAGTTTAACTAAACATTGTTATGCTATAATTAAAAAGTTTATGTAAAAGCAAGGTAATAAAACCCAGGCCTAGATTAGCTAAGAGGAAACATATTTTTTATTGAGGAATTAGGGGAACTTCTATATTTGATTATTTTAGTGGCAAAAAAGTGATCATTCAAAAGCAAATCAGAATTATTGTGAAAGGGTTGAGGCATACTCTCATGCCAGTTGCAAATCATTGCTGTTGGCAGTTAACATTACAACTGCAGGGCTCTGAAGGATTAATGGTTTCTGATATCAAAACAAAAGCCGTGGAAAACAGACACATAAATCACATAGGTCAAAATATTATGAACCGTATACCCAGTATAGTGTAAAGAGAAGATTGCTTTACACAGCATTAGGAGTCAATATCCACATACATGCCCATCAAACACAACTAGTGGAGATATCGTTTGATGTGGTTCAATCAATCAGCAGGTAGGTGACACCATATCTATTGGTGCTTTCTGAAATCAACCCACAAATGATATTTATTGGATTTTTGCCTTTGTCCTACATAGTGCTCTTTTAGGACACAAAGTGGGAAATTACAAAAATAAGGTAAATCTGAGAACTTAATATTTCTGATAGCATTAAAAGGATCAAAGTTAAACAAGCTTATTGACTTGGAAATAAAGTGTTGCATAGTCCTCCAAATAATTTTGTCTCTTTAACAAATGTTCACAAACACCCATTATACTCTTTATTACACCTCATAGCAGAATAACACATAAGTGTTGTAGATACGCTATTACAGGTCCACACATATACATAACACATACTATGTTCTGCTCACTGTGCTAAATACTAGAGAGCAAAGTAATTCAGGAAAGGCCTACATGTTGAAAGAGGATGGAAGAAAATATTAAAGTAGACAGAAAGAGAATAAAAACTGAAAAAGATGGGCAAGATGCACATAGGGCACTTAAGGACAGCTGTATCCTAGGAACAGTTGGGCAAGCACCCAGGAGAGGTAAGATTTGAGAGACGCATCCAGAGCAAGGTAAAGCTTGGAGGACAAAGTTATAGGTAGAGAGAATACGTGCAGGACATCAGTAATATTTGCACTTGGACAAAGGCATGCAATTCTGTATCTCTGAAACCCAGCGCACAGGAGGCAGGGGTGAGTACTGAGACTGAAACCGTAAGAAGAGGACAAATCCAAGAAGGTCATTGTACAGAATTCAGATTTCTGTATTTTACAGTGTACAATGGTGATCAAAGAGTTGTCTTTCTAAAGGAGCTGTGGTGGTCCAATTTTCAGTCTACTTTCGGAAATGTCATTCTGGTGTTGATTGAGAAAATGGATTTGGATTGGACAGAAATGGAGTTGAAGGCATGAGCCACAGCCACAATAAGGAAGAAAGTGACCTGGCTAGAAAGTGAAGGCCACAACCTGGCATTCCATGGGCTTTACCCTTTTAATTTTCATAGTCCTTCATTAAGCAGGGTCACTCTCTAACTGAACACCAGCTGAGGACACGTGACCTTTGCTTATCCAGGATCCTGCCTCCTTCTATTCTGCCCTCTGTTTTATCATGTATGACACTCCTCTGTCTACATGAGTGTTTTGATTCTTCAACTAAACTAGGCCAAGGGACTACCAAGGATAATTTCAAGGCATAATTACATACTGAAAGATTAATTCTTGGCAATTTGTTGAGAAATGGAAAAGGAGAGTAAATTGAGAACGATACTGGTTCCTTGCATTTTTTTTCGCTTTTATAAATTAGGTGGTTAACGATTCCTTCAACTAAATACATTCTAATAGAAATATGATTTGCATTAGACAAGTTCAAGAATAGTAATATAGATCGACCCAAAGACAACAAGCATTGAGCAAAACAATTTAAAAAATCAGCAATTGTTTGGGTGGTTTTACCACTTTCAAATACATATATTGAAATTCTAAACACTAAGGTTATGGTATTTGGGCATGGGTGACTCATTCACAATGCTGAGCCTTCAAACAATGTTGAAACCCATAGAAAAGAGAACCCAGAGAGATCCTTGTTACTTTTCCATGTGAGATCATGGTGGCTGTGATGAACAGTCAGGAAGCAGGTCCTCACTGGTACCCAATTTGTTGGAGAATCTTGAACACTGATGTGTCAGCCTCAAGCATTATAAAGTTCTTGTTGAGTATAAACAACCTGATTTATAATATTTTATTATAGCAGTCAAAATAAACTAAGATATTTTCATTTAATTTTTAAAAATTTATCTTTCATCATGTGTCTATGTGTGGGTATGTGCATATGAGTGCAGGTGGTCAAAGATGCCAGAAGAGTGCATCAGATCCTCTAGACCTGGAGTAACAGCCAGTTGTAAACTGCCTGACATGGGTACTGGGAATTGAATTCCAGTCCTCTGCAAGAACATATGTGTTCTTAACTGCTAAACCATCTCTCCAGGCCCTGAGATACTTTAATGACACATTCTATAGTACAAACAAAAAAAATTCAAAAATCTAGAAGTTCTTTGACATTCTACTTGTAAAACCTCAGTACATAAACTATTTTGGATCTTATTACCATATGTTAAGAAAAATATTTTCATCAAAATAATAAGAACTCTATCAAGAAAACCAGTTGATAATCTCTGTATAGATTTCCCCAGTTAGCTGACCATCATTAACACTAATAAAAACAGAAGCATGTAGCATTGCTAAACTAGCAACATACATTTGTATGGTTCCTTTGTAACTATGAAGCCTCACTGTGCAAATACATATTTCCAAATCATTAATTATGACTGCCACTCTAGGTCTGCTTTCACACCCTGAATCAGAGTGTCGAATTGTCTTTGGATTGTTTACTAAAAAGTTTTCCCACAATACAGTTATTAAGACGGGGTTTTCTTTGACTGGAAGAGCTCATTAGAGTCAAAATTTATGTTAGATTTTTTCAAAATAAAATTACTTTTCAAATTAGTGTGAAGCACCTAAGGAGGCAGATAGTTATTTGAAGTAGCAGTGACAAAAATAAGCTGGATGAAGCCCCCGGAAGCTGGAAGATGAATGAAGAAAGCTCATTCATCATGTTGGGGGCGGGGGTTGCCACACTGGCTGGAAACGAAACCTTGCCCTCTGCCCTGTGGTTTTCCCTCATGATTATGAGGCAAGTTCAGGAAAGCTCATGATGAGAATACTAACCCACAGCTAATACCAACACAGTCTTTGAACACCACAGGTGTCAAATAAAATGTTTCTATGTTAGTGGGCCAATTTAACCCTGTGAACTATGCACAGTTTTTAATCTGTTTTAAATATGAGAAATCAAGCTTAACAGGAGTCATGCTACTTGGTCCAACTGATCTGAGTTGTAGAAGTGAGATTTAATCCCTTGGGTAAGAATTTTGAAATGTACATATTTAAAGATATCCTCTCTCTTAATAACTCATTGGAATATCTGAGCACATAGAAATTAATGTTCATAGGTTAAGTCTTACAGCTTTAGAAAATACACTTTTTCAGAAAAAGACACTATCAAAGGTGTCTATGAATTTCAGGGCATAATGCAGTTAATTGACTTGTTTTTAAATTTGTGTGTAGCACTTACTACATTATAAAGCTGTTCCTACTTTAGAAAATTTTGATTGTATGAATTTGAGACTCCATCCTGGATTTGGGCACATGATAGGTAGAAGAGCAGGGTCTGAGTATAAATTCCAAAGGCAGTTGCTTGACTCAAACCCCAGCTCTACTATGGTCTAGATTTCTGACTTGGGTAAGTTATTTAACCCCTCTATCATTACCTTCTTCCCCTTTAAAAGGGTGCAACAGCACTTATCCTATGGCTTACTGTTATGATCAAATACACTAGAATATGTAAAGGCCATAGTAATGATCATATGTGAACCTAGGACATGGAAGCTCTTATTGTTTCCCAGACAAATGCCATCAGCCCTAGATTAGACAAAAATTACCCACAGTATCTTCAACTGCCTATCTAAGAATCTGTGAATCTTAGCGAATATACTACAGTGGGCATTCAAAAAACATTGTAAAATGGTGATTCAAATATCCCAAACCTACATATCCATGAGTGGATACGAATTTCAGAATTACTACTAGTCAAAGGTTCATTTTAACAGTGTTTCACCCTGGATGTTCTTATATAAGGAAAA